TGCCATGAGGATTGACTCTTACTGCCAGCCCCACCTTATCTTTTTTATCCAATTGACTGTCAGAACTTATCAGCTAACTGTTGATTGGATGAGCTGTAGAGACAAACGCGGCTAAAAAAGTCCATATACGCGTGCCACACACTGTCTGGTCACCGCTGCGCCGTGCTGCGACGATCAGGCGTGATCGATGAGATCTACCTCATGTGGAGTAGTAGAAACCACATAGAACAAGGCGCTTACCGAGTAGGCCTGAATGGCAGGACGACTTACTTGTACTCGAGTTAAGGTTCGCGTCCACGTCCGCGATCGCAAGTAATCCGTATTAGATAAACGTAGCCGAAAAAATACCGGAGGAACTGGAACCACCAGGTTTGACGACAGATAAGTCCTTTCTGTATGTCTTGTCCTTGTCGGCTGGCAACAACACATCACAGTCAACGCTATCGTATAAAATCTACTAAACCCTGTTTACTGCAATAACAAACAGTAACAGTAAAAAAGAAACACTGCCAGAGACAGCATCGATGCAGAAACATAATGGGTATTGTCAGGGTAGGCCATTCTCTCAACGTTAGTGATCCTCTTGAAAGCCGCTCAGAGTCCGCGCTCTATAGCGGCTCTGTATTCTAGAAGCCCAATTATGTCACACAACGGGGTCGCTTTTGAATAGTCTCCTGAAGTAACAGGGTTCGCAGAAGGTGATCTTGGTGCAGGATTGAGCGGGACTGTGGATGAAGCCCTACCTGATCTGGTATGCCACAATGACTTGTTAACGTTTTGCAGGTAACCGATTGTACTTCTACTCGACGCGGCTGTGATCATGCCTGATCTAGCTGGCCTCGATGATGTCACGTACTGTACCCCTTCACGCATAACAATTCACCGCAGCGGATCGGGAAAGCTCAACCAATTCGCCTTTTTTAGTGACGGAGGCCGAATAACGAAGGTGCAAGAACCGTTTCCATATCTTGACAAACCGTGTCGAGCGAAGTCTTCAGTTGCCTTCATCTTGCACGCCTCCAGATGGACAGCGGTGTCGGATTGAGGGCTGTATAAAACAGCTTGTGAGGCGGACAGCGAAAAACGTGTCGAAACCACGTCAGTCGACTTTCTTGGGTGGCCTGAAATATTCTGGCGATACGTCGCAGCGATTGTGAACCGTCCCATCAGAGACGCAGTCGGTTTACTTCACTCGAAGGACGACAGCGAGGCAACCGATTAATCAGATCCACCGCTGAACGCGCCGTATGAACCACAACTGTCTGAGCTGGCAACTAGCAAATGACAACAGCAAAATTTAAAAAATTGAGATAAGTCCACCTACCTGGAAAATTGGTGCATCCGGATCCTTGTTGATGGCCACGATGACCTTGCTCTCCTTCATACCCGCCAAGTGCTGAATTGCACCGCTGATGCCTATAGCGATGTACAACTCAGGGGCCACGATCTTGCCCGTCTGACCAATCTGTAAAAGGTGGAAGAGAGCACGCAAATCACTGCAAAGACAATCCAAACGACCATCGCCAGTTTTGCGTACTACTACAGCAGCAGATGCTGTGATTGGGCACACAGTGATCAGAAACGTCATAGTACTAAGAAGGGCGTTGGTTGAGGGTAAGGTGAAAAGATAAGTACGTTTACGTTATTACTGAGTATACTGACAATACAGGCCACAACCAAGGCAAGGCCACAGAATAAGTATCGCGTTCACCGATCAGGGTATCGTTTCCATTCCTAGGTCTGAAGGTGGACATGGCTGATTGACGACTACTAATAAGGCACAAATGGCTATGCCAGTCTCTTAGTCTCTTGTCAGCATTCCTTCCTACCTTAGAAGAAAGTGTGTGTGGAACAATTGCGCTTTTACTGACAGTTGTGCTAATTACCAACCATTCCGGAAACACTGATAAGGCTAGTTTCTGTCGCTGAAGACTGAGATCTGAACTCGGTGCGGTTTGGTTGGTGAGTACTTGAGTCA